AAAAAAAAAAAAAAAAGTACAAAAACTGACAAAGACAGATTGACATAGGAAGGTACACTTGAGTCCAAGTACTTAATTTAAAATTTTTTGTTCAAGTTATGTTTCTGACACATTATAGTGATATACAGGGATCTAGAACACGATTCATTTTCTTCCCCTTTGATGTAAAAAGAAGAAACAGTAAATTTGGTCAATGTCACACAGAGTAAAGGAAATAATAATGGTGAAAACTATCAACACAAACCAAATAAAACTATGTTCTTCTTCCAGAGCACAAATGTAAACCTTGTCCAAAGAGATGGATGTGGCATGAAGACAGCTGTTATTTGCTATGTAATGATACTCAACCATGGCAAGAGAGTAAAATGGCATGTGCTGCTCAGAATGCCAGCCTGTTGAAGATTAACAACAAGAGTACATTGGTAAAACCAAGTCTCCCTGCCTCTGAGGAGGAAGAATACTTTTCCCATCATAGGACAGAGAGGGGTAGGGCATGTTGGAAAGACCTGAATCCACCCACTCATGATTCTGGCTTATTTTAGTTGGAGTATGTGTGAGGTGACTGAGACTTGGTACATTTATGTCAGGATATTATAGCCAAGGTAAATCATATAAAACCTTAGCTTAAGATCTTATTATCAAAGGATTCATAGAAGCTGATGGGTAGATGGGTAGATATGGGGCACCCAGAATTTACAAGTCTATGAGCATTTACAAATTTGAACTCTGAAATCAAATCTCTGAACATGATTTCCAAACAATTATCCAAAAACAAAGGATCTAGAGATTATTTTGAGATTTAGAGATTATTTAATGCCATAAAAACCTCAAAAGATTGGTTTCTACCATTTTGTATTAATACCTTTTCATTTACTAAGAGAAGAAGCCAAGTTATACTAGGTTAGCATAAAATATGTATACACTAGTAGAATTGAGATGAGACAGCAAAAGGCAAGTGCCAGGCAGATATATTACACTGAATCCTTGGGTCCCAGGAAAAAAATGTGTTCTCTGGTAGCTTTATTTATTTTCTCTTTTTTCCCACATCTAAATGACATCTCCATATTACATTTATTCATTAACATTTCTGGTCTCTCAGAAAGTAATTGTATATTTTTAAGGAAAATTGCATTTTCCTAATAGTCTCAGCTTCCCCCAAAGTTAAAGGATAACTTTGTTATCCTTTATAGAACAGAGGGAAATCAATCCATAATCTCTTTTCTGATCAGATTATTTTCAAGTAACCCATTCATAGTTACTTACTCAAAAAAAATTTTTCAAGACTTAAATAAGAAAAAAAAAATTACCTGCCACTTTGGCTACAAGATTCTGAGCTAGTTCTAAATCCTATTCTATAACCTCTCTCATCTGAGTTTGCTTCATTTTTTCCTACTCTTTTTGTTTCTATTACCTTTTCTTTACAACTATTAACTACTTCCTTTGCCCCTGGATTGAGTATTTACTGCTAAAATTTTTGAATCATGAAATTTATGGACTTTTCATTGACCTAACATTAAAGTTATACATGGATTGGTAGGTCTTTTCTTCTTTTAAGACAGGAAGTAATATTGTAAAAAATGTTGAAATCATACAGTAAGGAGTACCTTCTTTTCAATTTCTTTTAATGACCTTGAAAAGTAGTAGTGCAATGTCAAATATGTTACCTTAAAACAGTATTTTGTAAGAAATTACATTATAAGGCACTGTACAAAAATAGGAAACAGTATTTAAACAATCTCTATTTCCTGTAGGACTTTATAAAATCCCAGCGTTTATATGACTATTGGCTGGGATTATCTCCCAGAAAAGATTATGTCTACTCCTACTATGAGTTGGATAAGATTTTCAACTCCTCTGACTGGTAAGTATCCATTCTTGTTAAAATTTTAGAGATAAGTTTGAGTAGAGATATTTTGCTCAGGAACATTGTACATTCCAATTAAAATCAGCTTAAATTGAAATTGCATTTTTAAAGAACCCTTTTCTATTAGGTTTCTTTGATGTATTTCAAAATGCAGAATGTTGCTGCAAAATGTCTTGTCATTATTTTGACAAGTCACTAACCAATTTATAGTAACCAAATTATGGAGAATTTCTGTAAATAATGCTTTTTTTTCCTAAGAAAATTATGGAAGCCCGTAAAAGTCACTGAACGCTAAAAAATACTTAATATTGTACTAATTTCTGTGATTCAAAGATGAATGAAAGATTGATTTTTTAAAGTGACTTAACCATCAATTATATGTACCGACTGTTAGAATAATTCTGGAGATAAAAAGAGTATAGAGTGA